AGAATGCTCCTGCTTTTTTGTGTTTCTTTTGGGTTAGTTTTGGGGGTTTTTAGGGTTGGGTTGGTTTATGGGCGTGTGTATGTTTGTATGTTTGGGTGTATGGGGGGTAGTGAGTATGGGCAGATGTGTAGTGTAAGAACGTACATGAAGGTACAGTAGCCAGTACGACGCTCCATACACCTTGGTATAGCCCCCGGAAGAGGACGTCTCGTTTTATAGCGCCTGTTGCGTCTTTGTAGAGGTGGTTGTAGTTTGGTGACTGGATGCGCGTTTTGAGTGTGTCCATTGGGTACACTAGGAAGTCGACGGTTACGGCTGCTATAGCGCCGGCCTTTGTTTGCTCGTTAGCTGGTTCAATTGAGGGTTCTGTTTGGTTTCGTTGGAGGTTTCTAGGAGTTGGGGTTTGACTATGATGTCTATATAATGTATGTATACTAGGGCATGGTGTGCTTGGAGACTTACAACCCAGATGTCGAGGCTACTGTTATCCATTCTAATGACTCAGGGTATGTAGATTGAAATTGAAGAAATATCTATAAACTAGTTCAAGAACTGCAGAAAAGAAAGATATCGACTTGAATCTTCACGATAACAGGATCTTATCTAATCGGTTATCGATGCCATGATGAGGTCATTGTACTTATCAGCATCACGTGTGGCAGACATGCCCTAGCAAGATTAGGGCATACCCCATCCATTCATCAGTTGATGTAGAGGACTTGCGCAGGACAAATGGATACGAAGGTTGGAGATGGGTGAGGTAGGTAGGAACCAAGACAGTCATATCCCGTAACTCTATTCGTCACTGGAATAAACAAACAGACATATTAACAGTCAGATACAATATTTTCCCTCCCTACGCCGTAAGGTCATGCATGCAATTCCCAGAATCCCCAGTTGAGACAAATCATCATCGGTCACCTCCTCTCCTCTATTTGGCGACCTCTCCGGGCAGCAGGTTTCCCTTGACCGCAAACATCTTACCCGTTGTCGCCGAAACGAAGCTGTCGATCTGGCGCGAGTACTGCTCCACCTGCCGGGTGTTGAGCATAGTCTCGAGGCGGCTGGGCTCCTGGGGAAGCTTGAACAGACGCTGGTACTCATCCTCGGGCAGGAGAGGCTGCTTGAGGGCCGCACGGCTGGCGTTCTCAGCCTTGCGCTTGGTTTGCCAGGCAGTGATCTTGGCCTGCTCACGAGCAAGCGAACGCTGGTAGTACTGGAAGTTGTTGGTCTCAGTGTGGTGGGTCTCGATGCTGTCCAGGAGAAGGTCGCAGTTCTTCTCGAGGAAGGGGTCGATGCTGAGAGACAGGTTGTCGTAGTTGGGGGCAAGAACGCTGTCCTTGGCGAAGGGGCCCTTCTCCAGAGCAGCCAGAGAGGGGGGGAGGTCGGTAGGAGTGGACTGAGCAGGGCACTGGAGCTGGTGGATGAAAGAGGTGATCAGGTGAGAGTTGCGGATTTCAACTGGAAGCTCAACGAAGATGTCCTGGTGTCTCAGGGTGGACTTTTGAAGCCTGGAAGACGTTAGTATGCCATCTAGATCACTTCGAGCACACGTATCGACTGATATAACAGACTACACTATGCCAACGCGGGAGAAAACATACTCCTCAGAGGTGAACTTGTTCTCCTTGAAAGCAGTCATGAACTTAGAAGACAGACGGAAGGCCCGCAGGCTCAAGCTTCCCTGGGCACTGCGGCTGACATCGTGCACAAGAGCAACTGTCCGCTCGTTCATCTCCTTCTGGTAAAAGAACTGGTTCTCGATCACGTTCATGTTGACGAAGTTACCCATGTTCGCGCTGGTGTACCAACCGACGTTGTTCGCATCGACGTTGACCTCCCGAAGCATGCGGATCATCTCAGCCTGGTAAGCCACGTTGGCCTTCGCACGAGGCGCAGCAGCAGCCGGGTTAGGGGCGGCGTTGTCGAAGTGCGAGTCGGCGGGCATCTCAACGACTGGGAATGGGAAAGAGTTCGTGATCTCCAAGGTACCGTCCACATCCATACCGACGATCGAACCGGTCGCAGTCGTCGGGAAAGACTGAGAGGAGTGCTTGATGATCTTCATGACCACCTATATGCGAACTTTGTAAGCATTATCATCGCCGTGAAAATAGCGGGGGGTGATTTTTCGCGGTCATTATCGTACCAAGGCATCGACCTTGACGGCCGTGAGGGGAACTTCTTTCCTGGTGTAATCATTAGCAGCCATTTTAACGAAACGATTTACGGCCAGCAGCAAGACTTACTCCGCCATATTGGATGTGCTGCCCAGGTATACGTTCGACGGCGACAATGGGATGACAGTCGGCGGCGATGGTTTGTGTGGATTGAATTCATCAATTTCCCACCGCCTAGCGCCCGATGGGGCTTAGTGCGCCAAGATCCTCACGGGACCAGTCTGGACACTTTGGGAACAACAACATCGGCCTTCAATATTCTGCCATGCTAAAATCTCCAGAAGAAATGTAATTCTCTGGGCGTATCTTCCCTGATAATGGCCGAGGCATCCCACCTCACAATCTCCCTGTATTGTTGCAGGTTGAGCTTATCGACAATGATACTCCCTAGTTGCTCCGCCGAACATCCTACTAATTAGTACTACTAAGCAGCCTTCATTAAGACTACCAAGCCGTTCCCCTCATTGCCCTCTCTTCCTATCATACTACCTTGAACTAACACCAACATTTATTGCAAACAATCAATAAAAATGCCCACCGAAACGTTCAATTACGGCGAAGACCACGCCCTCCAAACAGTGACAGTGACCACCTTATCAGAGACGCTCGACAATAAATACTGGATAATGTACATACTTCTCAATCTCAAATGTCCAACTTACCACACATCCACTATCGATAGGCCTACTAACCGTGTGAATCCAGCTTAATCCACGGCGGCGCCTGGCGCGATCCAAACATTGACGCCATCAACTTCGCCAACCCCGCCATATCCACCCTCACCAGCTCCTCGGAATACTCTCACGTCCTCCCGCACATCACTGCATTCGCATCTATTTCCTACCGTCTAAGCCCCCATCCGGACCACCCCCAGGACCAGTCGAGCACCAACTCCCGCGAATACCGCGGCTCCAAACACCCCGAGCATATCAATGACGTGCAAGCGGCCATAGCCTTCCTGCAACGCAAGTATGGGTTCGAAGACCGGTATATACTCGTCGGCCACAGCTGTGGCGCTACGCTGGCGTTCCAGTCGGTGATGGGCCAGTTTAATGCTGGCATATCGCACGGTCCGCTAGCTGTGGTGGGCTTGGCGGGGATATACGATCTGAAGTTACTCCGGGATACCCACAAGGAGATCCCGGCGTATCAGGAGATTGTAGAGGGGGCTTTTGGGGACGATGAGGCTGCGTGGGATGCTGTGTCTCCCGCCGTGGTCAAAGGGGCTGATGGTGTTGAGGGTGGGTGGACGGCTGGGCGGTGGGCGATTCTGGCGTACTTGTCTAAGGATTCGCTTGTGGATTTCCCGCAGCAGGAGGCTATGGATGCTACCCTTCGGGCTGGGTGGTGCGATGTGCAGTCTGAGGAAAATCCGAGATCTGTTGCGCTGCTGCCCCTAGAAGGTGAGCACGATGAATGCTGGGAGAAGGGAGAAGGGCTCGCGGAGGCTATTGCTTTTGCTATTGAGAAGCAGTTGGCAAGTAGCCTATGAAGAGCCTTAAGAGCCTTAACCTGTTTAATGGAGGCTTCCGTTTCTAATGGTTTGACCTCCAATGGACCCCTACAAAAATGTAATCCGTACAAATGAAGTGCATATTACGGGAATGGTAATTGCATTGGCAATTCATATTACGTTTCCCTAAGGCGAATTATGTGTATGAAACTAGTAAACATCAGAAGAAAAGAAATTAGACCAGCCATTTTCAAAGCTTCAAACGCCCACCATGTTCGTCATCATAAATTCAGAGTACAGAAAACTGAGAGAAAGAAACCGTTCGTACGCCTACCGTTGGAGAACAGCAAGCCATAACGAAAGGACAGATGAACATGTCACATAAAGGGAAGGCCCAGTTGAAAGTTGCAGGCGAGTATGTCGGATAGAGGAGGATGGGATACGGGATGATTTATGCGATAAGAAGAGGGGTGAATGGTGGGTCAGGAGCGGTTAAGGCATGGTGAGCATGGTATCGTGAAAACCAGAGAACATTAGAAATCGAAGAATGGTCACTCAAATGCCCATATCCATACGTCCAGAGGCAGCGTCACCCGCAACCCGCTCCTTCGGCTCGAAGCTCTGGTCTTCGTCATCGTCATCCTCGTCATCCTCCACTTCCTCGTCTTCGACGTACTTGACTTCCATCCCAGCATCACGAAGGCGCGTCTTCATGTCCTCGCGGTACTGATCCTGCCAGCGTGCTAGCGCCGCAGCGGCGTGAACTCTGAATCCGTAAATACGAGGCTCGTAACGGCTGGTGCTCTTTTCAGGGGCCAAGCCTGGGTAAACCTGGAAAAGCATGCTAGGGAAAGAAGCTCCAAAATAGGCACCGTCGATGGAAGCATGGCGAGAGGACTTGGGGTTGTAAAGGTCTTCGCATTTGGGGCAGTAAAGCCGGACAGTGCTCATGTTTGGGATGTCATGCTGGCCCATAGGCAGAAGTGGCTGACCTTCACACATAACACGGGGGCATTTGCCGAAGTCGCCCTTCTTGTACTTGTCGACCTAGACCTCAGTCAGAGAGTTATAACACTGCGGTGGTTCTCAAGGTAGTACATACCATCTTAGCAAGACCACGAGTGGTGACAATGTATCTTGCATGGACAAGTCCATAGAGATGACGTGCCGACTTTTCAATCTGTTCGCGTAGGTCGTCATCCGCATCCAGATCAAACACATCAGTCACCAGATCCAGCGCATACTGATAGTATGGCACCTCAGTGTTGAGGCCAGTAAGGTTAAAGCGATCGGTCAAATATTCCTCATCGATTTCGCAGAAGTACTCGTTTCCACGAGAGGAGATGAACTGTGTGCGCCAATTAGCTGTCTCGTCAGATATCGGCGGTAGGTAAACAGGGTGTCTCTGCTGAGCGGAGCGAAGAGTAGGATCGATTCTAAAGTAGTTGGGAACAACAGAAGGTGGAGGTGGAGTGCTAGACAGCTCCAACTGCTGCTGACTGGGCGAGGGAGACGCCATCCTTAGAATGCAGACGCAGAAAGGTGAGGTGATTCATGGAGCTGTGAAGTCGAGCAGAAGTGGCATCGCTTCCCGAAACGGAAATGTGTTTCTCCTTCCAATGTCCGACCCCTCCTGCTGCCACTGCCACTGCCACTGCCACTGCATCGTCCAGTATCATCATGCACCTTCCTCCACCTACAACCAAGTCGCAATCCCCCGCCCAGTCGCACATTGGCGCAATCGACGGTAAATTAGGAAAAGACTCACCCAATCTCTCCAGTAACTGGTATAGTCACTATCAGTCTCACTGTTGAAGTCCTCCATCATTTTGCCGGTGTTTCGTTCAAGAAAAGAGCAAGAGTTTCTGTTTCGAGTTTCTGGATCTAAAGGTAAGATTATTTCTTGACTTTGCCTGTAGCAGTTGCTGAGAGATAACTGGGTCAGATCCCAGAACAGGAGAACCCTCAGAACCACACAGCTGGAATAATCTTCCTTGGAGACTCCACGGTCACAGCTCGAGCAATAGTACGGAGAAACGTCAAGGGTTGTGGGATTCTTGAGTGGTTGCAGTGTGTGTCTCTTCCGCACGCCGTTCCTACTGTTATCAGCGGATTATCCTCTACGGGATTAGCGCGGGGTTGGCGGTGAGGTTATTGTCCGTGCTTTCAATCACCGCCTTGGTGATCTGGGGTCGACATCACACTAGGTAGACAGGGCGATTTTGTTCAATATGGCTGAATCCTGTCAATTGAACTGTCAAGTATGTCATGGCTACAATTATAATCCACTGTCCGATCTTACGTCAGCTTGTTAGATAGAGCACTGATCTATTAAGGAGTTTTTACTAACTATTACTGCTATCTACCTCAGCTGGTCAGACATGCACTGCATCTAAACACAAGATTGTTACCATCAGCAACGGCGAATGGACTTCGTATCCTAGGCTGGGACTCTATCTGAATTTTATGTCGCAATATTCCACCGAGAGATGACATCTCCTGAGAATTGGCGCCTCCTGTATGGATAAACAATGGACGTCATATGGATAACACTATTAGTATTTAGTATTTGTCTTGCGGATTGAGATTCCTAATCATGCTATCTAGTGAAGAGAGCTCATTGTGGCTTTGCATATTTAACGTATCGGAACCATCTCCAAGCTTGAGGAACTCATCTAGGCTATATCTAGGCTATCTAACTGTGCCAGCGGCTCCTACCTACCTCCCGAGTCCGGCAATATTCATTCCTCGACGGACTCTGTCTCTGTTTGCTGCGATGAAGACCTCGCAATCTCCGTGTCACCGTAGAAGAGAGAATAATTGGAACCGCCTTTTGACTCAGAACAGTTCAAGTCATGTTTTGAGACAGGCGTAACGAGGGGCTCGTTACCCCAAATTCGGGGGTCAAGAGACTGCTTGAACTTCTCTGAGTCAACCTCACTATATATCCTGCTAACGACAGATGGCTCACGTACATCTGTGTCTTGTTGTGCTCCAGAGACAGGTCGGACTCGGTCGGACAATGGGCAATGTGTTTTGGCGGCCCGCTTGCTTGTGCTCATATCGCTTGCGTCTCGCTTAGATGAAACGTTTTTCTGTGAATGGAATTGTACCTGTATGACTCGGTCATGGAGTGCATCACAGTCAATACCAATACGTCCACCTAATACAACAACAACGCCCCATGCGTTTGACGAGATAGCGCGCTCCAGCTCCTGTTCTGTATACTTCAGCTTAGTGCCTGCGAATGAGTCATCATAATCTGCAGTTGCCTGGATTGCCTCTTCTTGCAGTTGATAGTATTCGATGAGGTTCCTCAACTTGGACCCTTCACGGTGTTAGTATCACATTATAGTGATTTACAGGCGATAACATACAATGTTTGCTCTCCTTCAGGTGATAGAACGCCAGTGCCGTAGTGGGAAGAGAGGCTACTGGGATAGGTATTGGTGATCCTTCCTGGTTATACATCTGTATCGGAAGGATACGCTGGTTGAGGAAGGCGATTTTGGAGTTCCGGAGGATTCTCTCAAAATTACCCATCTGGACCTCCAAACGATCCCCCTTGGTTTCGATCCTATCCAGCCTGGTTTCCAGTTGACCCACTTTGGCTTCGACGCTGCCCATCCTGACTTCCAGTTGATCGACCTTGGTCTCAACTCTATCGAACCGGTTCTCCATATGAGTAAACCGTTTGCTGACATTCTTGAATTCTCCTTTCATATCCATCTCCAAGGTATGGAACCTGGCATCCACGCGATTGAATCGCTCGTTGACACTCTGGAACTCTCGCTTAATATCTTTATCACGAGCTGCGAGGTCCTTGTTTATTCGATGAAACTGCGGTTGAATGACACTTTTATAGAACTTGACCATCTCCTGAACCAAGTTCTTCTGCAACGTCTCTGTTCGCTGGATCATAGTGTCATCCAAACGTTGAGCCAAAAAGCCTTGTAACTCATTGGACCGTTGAAGCAGAGTCTCATCCATTCGCCTAGTCAGGGCTTCTTGGAACTCGTTGTTTCGTTGAATGAGGGTGGTATCCAGCTCGTTGGTGCGTTGGAGCATAGCTTGATGTATTTGATTTGACCGTTGGAGGAGTGACTCTTCCAACTGGTTTGAGCGTTGGACAAGCGATTCCTCTAACTGTTTCGAACGTTGAGCAAGTGAATCCTCTAACTGGCTCGAGCGCTGAAGCAAGGTCTCCTGTAACTCCGTGGACCGCCGGTCTATGGTCTCGTCTATATGCCTGGTCAACTCTGTGGACCGCCTTTCCATGGTCTCATCGATACGTCTGGCCAAGGCATCGTGCAGCTCATTTTTCTGCTGAAACAGGATAAACTGCAAGTTGTCCACTCGCGTGTTCAAGGACTCCTGTAGGTTGTCGACCCGCTGGTTGATGTTCTGGTTGAGGTCATCAAACTGCTGCCGCATCATTGCAGCCAACGTTGTTACCTCCATGGCTAGGTTGCAGTCGTATAATACTTCTTGGAATGGTGTAGGAGTGGGTTTATGCGAAAAGATATTGTTATTGATAGGGGTAATAACAATGAGGCAGAAGAGGTGGTATGTTGTAGGTTATCCATTGAAGCTCCAGATAAAGAAAGCAGCGACCCTTAAATAGTCCTCTCGGTGACAACAGCGACCGTGTTGTGCTGCCTTGTTCGCTACTAGAAATTTGCAAGTGAATATGATCAGCATATGGTTCTTTGTCTTGTCATTCACTGGTTAGGACTCACATTGCTTAATACAGTGATTGACAGTATGTTCCACTTCTGTCCGCAGTGGATCGCAGTGGATAGAATGATTTAATGAACGAGAAGCCATAAACTGCTAAAGCACCTGACGCAGCACGGTCTCTATATTTATACTGTTCATCTGCGTTCATGGTCCTCCTCTACCTTCTTGTAAATGGCTCTCTATATTATGCGTAACAGTCAACTGTACATTTCTTACCACCCCAGGCACTGGTTTGTGGTTTATTAACTACTATCTCCCAGAGACCAGTCTACAGACATCCTATACGGTACAATGTCAAGCGTGTCACAGTTAGACCTATCCAGCATAGTACTACTTTCTCTTTACTTAGACACAACAGACCAAGTACTAGTCCCGCCAGCTCTTTGTCCACAAAATCTCTGTGTCAAACAAGCAAAACAAAACATTGTCGCATTTCCGTAGCAACATTTCCGTATACCTAATCTACCTAAACATAAATCCCAGACTTATCAACCTCAATCTCTCAACCCCAGACCCCATCTTACAAAGAAGGATTGGCATTCTCAACCAACTGTTCGAAATAAGCCTGCAGAGCCATATTAGCATCACGCCTCTAGACAAATACTCTTCAAAAGCAAGAAACTCACCTGGAACCAAGTACCAGCCTCAGGAGCGGGTGTCAAGGCATCAGCATATCCGCAGTGCGCATCATAGCGCTCCGCAGAGGTATCGGAGGTGCCGTCACTCTCACCACCGGGCTTAACCCAGACGAAAGCGTCGACGAGCTCATCGCCTGTCTCGGTGGTCGGACGCACACCGAACCCGGTGTTCTTGACGTTGCACCAGTCGCCCCATTCGCTTTGGCCGGTGGGTTGGTTTCCGTTGCGGCCTGTGTGATTTGTTTTGTTAGCGGATTTGCGTCCATGTGGAAGATAAATGCAAAGGATAAATGCAAGACATACCCGTATCAACGATGAAGTGAGCATCAAAGCCAGCGCTCTTCAGCTGCGGAGCGAAGTTGTTGATGTAAGTCTTCTCGTCGCAGACTGGCTGCCCTGGGTGTAGGAAGGACATGTGTCGATGGACCAGGCGTTGTAGTTTGCGACGTTGGTGGCCAGACCGCGCACGGCGGCCGGGGACCCTGCGTTCTTGTACACGGAGGCGTACAGTTCGGCGGCGGGGCCAATGTTGGCGGGCCAGCCGAGCCATCCTGCGTGGCCTGTTGGGTGTTAGCTTGACGGTCTGAGAGTATTGTGTAGGGGGATGGTGCGCACCGGCATCAAGATACATGGCAACGTTGGGCAGGTTCAGCTGCTTCAGGGCGTAGTCGGTACATTCCAGATAGGCGTCCTGGGCGTTGGCGCACTTTTCGACGTTGAGGTTGGTGACCAGGTTGGCCAAGCTGTCGGGCTCTGTGGTGGATGTTAGTGAGTTGTTTCAGTTCCAAGGAACCATATTTGGGAATCTTTGTCAGGGAGAGAGGTGTAGACTCACCAATAACCAGGATGATCTGCGTGTCCGAGTACTTCTCCACCTGCTCCCGGATGGAATCAATATACGCCTTGTACTTCTCGACTCCACCGTCGCTGATCAGGAACTCTCCGTTACTGGCCAACGCCGCGCAGTCCCGGTCAGGCAGATCGTAGACGACGAAGATACCGGCTGTCTTCGCGCCGGCGTCGTTCTTGCTCTTGATGTCTTCGAGGAACTCGCCCATTGTGGGGACTTTGGCTGTTGTGTCACTGGGGTTGTGTGTTAGTGACTGGTTCGGTTCAAGAGTATGGGAAGGATTCATACAGCCAGTGGAAAGAGGGAACGTTGGCCGCAGCGCTGGCCTTCTCAGCCAGCTCGCCGGTCATAGATGGAATAGCAAGGCTCTCCACCTCGGACTTGTAGTACGGGTTCACGTAGAGGTCATATCCTTCGAATGGGTTTCCACCAGCTGTCGCCGTGGGAGCAGGGGCGCTCGACGCCGGAACAGACGACGAAGGAGACGGGGTGACGCTCGCCTGGGGGAGAGCACTGGCAGCGGAGAAAAGCAAGGGCGACAGCGCCCATAGGGCCTGCATGTTGGGGGTATGCATTCTGAACGGTCGAAGTAACTTGTTATCCACGATACTCTGAGCTGGTGTACTGGACTACCACGGGGTATCGAGTCCCCTTTATAGTACTTATTTCTCCGTCTAAATGAACTTCATGCAGAGGAATTGCCGAAAACTGGAGAAACGTAATTCGGCTAAAGACAAATAACCCCGGGTCTTCAACTCCGGCACCCTGTTTCATCCTTTTCATTTCAGATGCAGGCGTCGTTCCTTCAGAAGCCAAGACGGAAGCCCCCGTACCAGAACGGGCGCGGAGTGGGTGATCGTCATTCCATCGGCATTTGTCAGGGCTTAGTGTGGTTGTTTATTGCAGTACCTGGCAGATTGAGACACGCTCAGATTTAATTGAGCTTGTGTTGCACGGACTCGTGTAAATAGGCTATGTGTTCTGCACAACAGCCGACCCACATGAACACAAATCTCATGATGACAGAAGCAATGTCTGGAAATTTTTATAGGCAAAGAAACCCTACCGTGCCGTCCTTGGAGAGTGAGTCCTGGACGCTAACAACTTCTAGTATTAGAAGGGCCCTCACTTCCAAAGGTTGGTCCACAGCTTGATGGAAGGCCAAAGAGCAATGCCGATTTGCGAGAGATCTACCAGTATCTTTACAATTTATCCGACTGTCAATTACATCACCTTTCTTATGTTGAGACGAACTAGCTGATTACTATTTGGCGTGGCCCCTTTATAATTGTTACACTTCAATTAGTTTACGACGAATAGCATTAGACATTGCTTGTATATACCCCGGACAGAATTGTCCTCCCCCGCGTCTTCCACGGCTCGACGGATTCCGGGCCGAAATCAATACTAGTTAAGGATCATACGTGAGTCGTTTCACTATCCGGACCGGATTGGGTAGATATTCCACTGCTGGGGTAAAACTAGTGCCCTACTTACCGGACCTGAACCCTATTGGAGAGTTTTTCGCGAACTGAAGGTCTTCATTAAGCGTACCTGGTGCTACTATGAAGAAGATCCGATAGGGGATTGGTTATTTTCTCGAATGGTGCATTGATAAGGTTGGTGCTAAGGAAGAGAGGGTTCGAGGATAGAAATCCTCATCTATATTCCATCGCCCAAGACAATATATGCCATTTTTAGCCTCGCTTCTTTAGCCAGCTTTGTTAACAACACACCTTCGTTTTCTCCGCACTATTCCTCAATAGGTCAGTTCAGCAGGATGAAATAAGCCCTTTTTAGAAACAAAAGACCCCGAACATGTTTAGAACGTGAAGCGTGTGCGCGTGTGAGAGAAGCATATATGGAGAAAAATAGAGAGTAGCGGCTATTACTCGATTATAGACGTAACAATGCCGAAGCCAAGGACCTTACCACCCTCATGGATGATGAAGTTCTGGCCTTTTCTCATCGCAATCGGCACGGCCAGGTTGGCCGTGATGGACAGGTTATCACCGGGCTTCACCGTTTCCCTACTCCTCGGAAACGAGATAGAACCTTTCAGATCTATCCTACGGAAGTAGAACTGCGGTTGGTAGTGGTTGGGGAACGGTGTAGCGCGGCCACCCTCATCCATGTTCAGCACGTACACTTCCGCTTTGAAATCCGCGCACCACCTGGCCGTGCCCGGCGTGGCCAGCACGCAACCGCGCTCCACGTCCTCACGCTTGATGCCACGTAGCAGGACACCCACGTTCTCCCCTACCTCCGCCATGTCTACCGGCCTGCGGAACATCTCAACGCCCATACACACTGTCCCGGTCGTAGTGCCGACGCCCACGACCTCTACTTGGTCGCCGACTCGGATCACGCCGCGCTCCACACGGCCCGTGGCCACCATGCCACGACTAGAATGTGGGAAAGTCTCTTCAACCGGCATCCAGAACGGATCAGACAGCGCTCCCTCTGGCTCCGGGATGTACGCGTCCAACGCCTCCCCTAGACGTATGATCGCGCGCTCGCCCAGCTCGCCCCCGACTCCATTCAGCGCCTGCTGCGCCGAGCCCCTGATAATCGGCACGTCATTGCCCGGGAAGTCGTACGTGCGCAGCAGCTCGCGCACTTTCGTCTCCACCTGGCCGAGCTGCTGGTCATTAACCATGTCGCACTTGTTCAGAAATACGACGATGCGTGCCACGCCAGCTTGCCGTGCCAGTCGAACCTGCTCGCGTGTCTGCGGCATCGGGCCCTCCGTTGCCGACACGACCAGGATGGCGCCGTCCATCTGCACTGCGCCGCCGAGCACGTTCTTGATGTAGTCAGCGTGCCCCGGGAAGTCTACCTGACCGTAGCAGTGCGTCTGGGTCTCATACTCGATGTGCGCGGCCCGGGTGGTGGTACCGTGGACTTTCTTCTCCGGCGCGTGTTAATCTCCCCATGTGTCTTGGACTTGGTGGCCAGCGTCTTGGTGATGGCGGCCGCCAGGGTCGTCTTACCATGGCCGTTTTGACCAATGGTACTGATGTTGAAGTAGGGCTTGCTACTCGAAGACATGTTGCTGGCGTCCAATGTACTAGTACTGATGGCGAGCAGAAGTGTGTCTTAGGACAAGAGGGAGGGGGGAAAGCTGTATGTCAGAGACAGGTGCGGGGCAGTTGTCTCTCTTTCCATTTTGTTCTGTGTGCGCAGTGTTGATCCCTCAGGCGCCACAAAGCATAATGCAGAGGGCAATATGCCCTACTTTCTTGTGCACATATGATGAGCTAGTATGGCTACCACAGGCAAGGAGAGAATAAATGCAACACAGTTAGAATATGAGCAGAACGATCTGATTTTTCTTGGGTTGGTCTTAAAAAACAGCCGGGCTATATCATAGAGGATGGAGGTACAAGCATTTATCCAGTCAGATCTAAATCTCGATCGAACTCGGGAAGATCCGTCAGCCGGTGGGGCTGTACCGTCCATCGGAAGAAACAAGACGCATTGTTCTCCTACCAGAGTGAGCCCTCTTCAGGAGTGCAGCTTTCTTTTGGTATACAGTAAATGAATGACTGTAAACAAGTAGACGAAGACTGATATTCCTGAATGAGACTGAAGAAGTTGCACTCTAAACATCTCCCGTTTCAGGTATGGGACTGTAATCCCGGCAATCTGCATAATTTCTCCGTCTTAACTAGGAAGAAGTGAGTATTTCCGGGACAATGCATCAGGATTGCTACAACCCGTACCTAGGCACCTTGGATGACTGTATTTAGGTTTTGCTGATCGCCGTTTGAGAATTGATCGTGGAGGTATCCTCGGTCCGCGAGTCGTGTATCTCTGCCGCCAAGATGCGGAGTAGTTTCTGCAGGAAATTATACAATTTATATGGAGACGGTTGAGTCGGCTCGACGGGCCGAATTTCCGGGAAGGATTACTTATCAGCATAATGTATGACTATTGACTATACCGTGATTGAAGTTATGGATGGTATGATAGCTACGAGGTGGTAATGGATTGAAAATCAAACTTCTATTAATATTGGTATAGCTTATTTTATATAATAATAGAGAGATATTGTTACACCCAGGGCTTCCTCTAAGGACTCTACGATCAGTTAGCTAGTATTTGCCTAGCTGTGACTGTCAAACGTGACGAAGTCGGAATCATCGATTCTGTTGAGCTAAACTGACTCGAGGAAGACTGGTGTTTAGATCGGACACTGTATTCGGTCGACATACGGAGTATTAAAGGCATTTATGGACTGTGAGGATCTCTAATATTTCTCATGATAACGATTCTGTTGAGTATGTTGCATTGTTTCATGTCTAAGACACATGTGGTCATTTCGTGAAGTGCGGTCTAGGATGGTATAAAGAGCAGTATTGTATTTCAGTCTTTTATCGTGCAATTCATGTCGTTGATTCAGGAAAGACATTTTACTGAACAGTATTATTGGAACAGTAAATGTATCAACCAAGGTCAACTTCATTGAAGTTGCGATAGAACAATACTCCTGTATACAGGAGCCACCAGTGCTTGAGTACTTTCGTTTACTCCCTTTTCTCCCACTGAAGTGGATCGTTCATTTTATTTGTCGCCCAGAAGGGTATTTGATTTAATATAGAGGCTGACCACGTTAGCATTATACTAGGATTGAAGTGGGTGAAGCGCGAAACTGGAGTTGGATGGTGGCTCATTTACGAAGTAGATATACAGGTAATTGAGATTCAATTTATATGTTTCACTAATAGCCAATAGGGTTGATCACACCTCAGATATACGGTGTCTGTTCGCACAATAAACAAAAGAAATTATAGTAAATAAAGACTGTCAAAGCCTGTGTAGAACATGGAAACGCGGTTAGCTAAGAAATTGGAGGAGCACGGTTGCATTCGGCAAGAAATCGATGTAACCCGTCCGATCCCTCATATTCAGAAGCACTCTCAGGGAACCCGGTACTGGTGATCTCATGGAAGTATGCGCGGTCGCCGAGTTCGCTGATGTTGATACTTGAATACCCAGATGACGAGGATTGCTGCCACGGATTCTCACCGAACATAGTTACATCTTCGAAACTGAGCTTCGGCCCATAGTTTCCGAGAAGCCCCGGTGAAGCCTCTGTGTTGTTCTCTGAAGACATCATAGCCTGCCAATCAACTGCTTCGGGCGCTTGTGGCTCAGAGGCCCCCCTCGAGAAGAGGTAATCCAGCGTCTCCGGTGACCCGGGAACACTGGGGGCAAAGGGGAAGAGAAGTGCAAGGTCGGCACCCGTACGAATATCGAAGTCCTCGTCCTGCATGATCTTCCCTCGTTGGACGCCAACCTCGTCACAGAGCCGTTCGACAGTGGCTGCGTCACAGCCAGGGAATCGCACCCGGAGCGTCGACTTGTCGTGAAGCAAGATAGGCAGATCTCCCAGGGTGGACAGGCGTTTGAGGTCGTTGAGTACAGCAGCCAAGTCCTTGAGAGCACGCGCAAAGTCGGCAGAGAGGAAGTCCAAAAGGCCGTCCGAGTTGATGGTCTCGGAAGCGAAGGCTCCGGACGGATCAAACTTCTTCTGCAGACCAAAAGCGGTGATGGTAGGGGAAAGCTGGAAGTCAACAAAGGATCCCGGTGCAGTCCGAGGGATTCCCGTCATCTTCCGTTCAGCCTGATCTTGAAGGGCGCTCACGGCTTTGTACTTCTTATTCCCGCTGACTTCGTCAATGCCGTCAAACCGGACCTTCTGTCCTGAAAGGAAGAATGCCCGGACACCCATGGATACATTTTGAATGACCTGAGCGGGTGCAGCTGGGCCATGAGAGAAATACCGGGCACCACCGATCCGGCCGGCCCCTGCAGTATAGCCTCCCGCCGTACGGCCGAGAGTACCGCCGGTCAAGTTTGGGCGAAGAGTTGACGCAAAGGGTGCTTGAGAGGTAAGACGGCTGATGTTCGACGCAACGCGGGATGTCTTGTAGGCCGCACGGTCGCCCTGCAGTCCAGTTCGGAGATAAGAAACGAAGGTTCTCGCCCGAGTGGAATAGTGGCGGCGACGGGCCTGGCGAATTGCTGCAGCGCGGTTGATCGGCTGGTTTGGGGTTATGCGTGCATAAGCTGGCTGGAATCGTAGACCTCCATGTTGCACTTGTTCTGGGAACTTTGTCCTTATGGCTTTGCAGGCCTTCTCGTAGGCAAACCTGGGGCGGCGTCAGAACGGAGATATAGTCCGGGTGGAGTGGATAAGTGATTACTCACCTAGCTGCTCTCCAAAACTTTGGGAGCAGCAGGTGCCCGCTGGAAGGCGGCATCCTGATGCTGATGAAGAGAGATAGTCTAAATGAGACACGAAGATGGGGAAACCATCTACGAAATGGATAAGAGATCCAGGGAGATGGAGGAGATGACGGATGCGTGCCTGATGATAACGGCACAACGTGGCGGTGCAGCACATGATCGCCACTGCGTCATTGCCCATTCGAGTCATCCCCACGTGACCCTTCGGTTCCCGCCGTTCGACATTCGTACCGCGACTGTCGCCATCAATTGAGTCCTCTCATAATTCTTGCTAATTCGCCATATAAAATTCCTTATAATGGAGTACAGTGGAGCCTTTGACCAATTGTATAACTTTAGACAGTATATAGTAATGGCGTGCTTTGCTATCATTTAGTATTAAAATGTTCCCTATATAACACAGTAACACCGAAACTGTATATATTTCACACTACAAATGGTTATGAAGTACGGTGACTACTCCGTACAGCGGAACTCAATAGATATAATATGAATGATATAGAGCCTTCTAATTTCCGTTACAGCTAGTCTGTATGGGAAAACTTACTAAATATAATCCCCCGATACGAGCAATTTAAATCGCGTGCTAACTGAATTGCTTATCGGGTGTTTAACTGAACTAGGAGAAAGACAGTTCCCCACTCTAGAGGGGAAATTGACATCATGCCGCTGGATGGACCTGCCCTAACATTCGGCCTCTTCTGGTAGCTTATAAATGGTCTTGTGTACCCCTCGTTTATAACATTTTGCTCGCGCTCTTTGTCTGAATTCTTTGTTCTGATTCTTAATCTTGACACGTTTCAATAAAATATCCCTTTCCCCCTACTCAATTGCACAAAATGGCCAGCCTCCAGCACACCAAGTCAGTCCCTAGATCCTTAGGTATAGAAAGAATGAGCATCAATTAACACTATTCCTCAACAGAAAAACCTACACCCTGAACACCGGGGCCAAGATCCCCGCCATTGGTCTGGGAACCTGGCAATCCAAGCCCAACGAAGTGCGTGAAGCCGTGAAGAATGCTCTCCTGAAGGCTACCGCCACATTGACACGTACGTTGTCCCAATTGCCCCATCTGAAGTACAAGCAGTCAAACTAACCCAACCAGTGCCCTCGCCTACGGTAACGAAGCCGAAGTCGGCCAAGGCATCAAGGACTCCGGCGTGCCGCGCGAGCAGATCTGGATCACCACCAAGCTGGACAACACCTGGCACCACCGCGTGTCCGAGGGCATCGAGTCGTCCCTGAAGGACCTGGGCGTGGAGTACGTGGACCTCTACCTCGTGCACTGGCCCAGCAGCACCGACCCCAACGACAAGTCCAAGCACCTCCCGGACTGGGACTTCATCAAGACATGGCAAGAGGTGCAGAAGCTCCCCGCCACCGGCAAGGTCCGCAACATTGGGGTCTCGAACTTCGGCATCAAGAACCTCGAGAAGCTCCTCAATGACCCCAGCACGAAGATCGTCCCCGCCGTCAACCAGATCGAGCTGCACCCCAACAACCCCTCCCCCAAGCTGGTGGCCTACAATACCTCCAAGGGCATTCACTCGACCGGGTACTCTTGTCTCGGGTCGACCAACTCGCCTCTGTACAAGGACCCGACGCTGCTGCAGCTTGCCGAGAAGAAGGGTAAGACCCCCCAGCAGTGTCTGCTGCAGTGGGGTATCCAGAAGGGGTGGAGTGTGATCCCGAAGTCGGTGAGCAAGGAGCGCATTGATGCGAACTTTGAGCTGGATGGATGGAACCTGACCGATGAGGAAGTCGCTCAGCTCGATAACTTGAAGGATCGGTTTAAGGTCTGCGGTGATAGCTGGCTTCCTATCAAGGTCTTCTTTGGTGATGATGAGTAGATTTTAATATTGTGATTATAACGGCCCCATGGCATTTAGAGTATAGATATCCCCGAATTTGAATTGTATATACAAAGTCATCCATAACCCCCCAATTAATCAACATCTTCTAGATAGCCAATTCAAGATATGCACCCGCTGTGTATCTTTGTATGTTAGGCTGATATCAACTGTTAAATAGGAGAATACTCACTATCTAAAGTGTCGTGGGGATTTTCTCGCTAAAATGCCATTTGTGAAATTGGCTGATTTGTCTGCAGTACCGCATCACACAAACAAAATTTCTGTTTCTCTATCAGATGATCAGTCTTCGATATTCTCGGCTGTGACTAGATTCATATCCTCACAACGACAGCGTCGAAAGAAAGAGCAGCGATATCAACGTTGACTATTTCAATTTACCTGGCGAAATGCAATAAGATAAAGACCTGAGGTAAATCTAGTACTCAAGTTCCTCCTAATCCAAGTTCATGACCTCTTTCTCTCGATCCGGATGCTCATGGTTGTTTATGTATCCGCAATGGATGAACAGCCAAGTTTCAAGACGCCAATGTAGTCAAAAAGATGATATGAGAAGAATTAGAACGAGGCTGATGCCTGCCAGGCGTCCCAGTGGGGGCGATCATAGCCTGAGTGGGATATATGTGGTTTTTTATACCAGGTGTTGATCCTCCTGGTGGATCAATCCCCACAGTGTTTCCAGGTATCGGCTAATTAGGACTATGTTCTTGTCCCGACTGTATAATGGGAAGTTATATTTTATACATCTAGTCACCGTAACCCCCCACCCCCCGTTGAGATAATTGGACACAAACTGAAGAAATATACATTAAAGCTAAGCGGTAAGGTAGCGACGGGGTCATGCTGAAAGAAGCGTGCTAAAGTCAATCACATGGATATTAGACTATGATATCAATCCAGCCTTCGCGAGGATTGCTTTCTGAATTCTAAAAAGTGAATTGCTTATGGGCTATGTATACCTCTAATCTGACATTCAGACTAGGTAGAAGAGTTGCTGCACCCGAAAGAGCAAAACAAATATCAAAAGCGATCCCCAAGGAAGGCAGAAGAGAATGATAGAAAGAAGCTGTGCAGATCATCTAAAACCGACATGGCAGGAATAGACAATTCCCTTACCGTACAGTCACTATTGACCTCTCATGGAGCCATTGCCCCTACTTAGTTCTTGTTGACATCGTCCATGTGGTCCATAACGGCGCACTTCCACTCATCGGTGCCGTAGTAGATGGTGTACTGATCGTTGGGAGACTCGCCCGTGGACAGCTTCTGACCATACTGCCAGAACAGATCGGCGGCGGTGCCCGAGCTCAGCGAGGTCTTTTGCCACTTCAGCTCGTCGGTGCAATGATTGCCCTTCATGCCATACTCCTCGAACAGGCATGGCTTGCCGGCAGCCTTGCAGGCCTTGGCGTGGTTCTCAACCCATCCATTGCCCCAGGCGTTGTCCTTGATACCCCCTGTAATATCAGGTCAGACTTCATTTCTTGGCTCATGTATACCATGGTAATCACTCACAGTCAGTGGTGTAAAGATGGAGCGTTCCGAAGTCAATGTCCGGGATAGCAAGGTTCTTCTCAAAGTCGTTTCCTTCGGTGGTGGAGTACGGGTACGACTGGTCCGAGCCAATGGTCAAGCCCATGCCCTCTAAAGAAACAGTTAGTCATATTCTACTGCATCCGCAACATACGTACCATCACCCAAGGCGACCATGTGGTTGGGATCCAGAGACTTGATGTAGGCACTGGTCTTGGTGGCCCAGCCGTGGATCACGTCAGGGCTGCATCCGTTGCAGCGAGGCTCATTGCCCAGCTCCCAAGCGAAGATGGCCGGAGAGTTCCTGTACCTCGAGACAACGGCCTTGATATAGGCCTGGTACACGCTCTGGATCTTTTCGTTGGTGAACCACTCAGTCTTGCTGCCGCCGTAGGCAGTGACATATGCGTTAAATCCGCCGTAGTCGTCCCAGCTGTTCACGAAAGGAATGATGAGCTTGACGCCGTGTTTTTCGGCGGCAGCAACCACATAGTCCAGACGCTGGAGACCGTCTTTGCCGGTGTTGATGGTGGAAGTGCCCTTGGCCTTGTCGTGGAGCTGGAAGTAGACCGTTCCGGGGCTGGGAGCGGTGTTTACATCGTTGAAGCCCCAGACACGAAGGATCTTCAATCCAGTTTGCTCCAAATGATCGAACACGGCGTCGATGTCCGCATCGTTCATTTGGAATGGGAGCCAGTAGGTGTTTGTGCCGGCGAAGTACTTGGTCTCGCCGTCAATCGAGAACTGCGTTCCATCCACCTTGGCGAAGGACCCGCTGCCTGTCGGGCGAGGGGCTGGCGAGGCGGACGACGAAGACGGCAGGGGAGTGGACTTCGACACTGTCGAAATTGACTTGTTGATGCCCGTGCTGACGGATGCGGTAATGGACACCGAAGGAGTGACAGACGGAGTGGGAGTGCTCGACACGGCGGCGGTCGTGGACGCGGCGCCTTGATTATGGGTTAGATCTCGTTTGTTCTTGGCACGGGCAAGTTAGTATTCTCTCACCAGGTACACACTGGCTAAACCACTCGTTCAGCTCCTCGCATGCCCATCCCGAAGGACACGCAGATGAGCCGGAGAAGGACTTGCCTCCACACTGGGCCCAAGGACCAGCCTGGGCCGACGCAGCTCCCACCACAGACAGGAGTGCGATAGACGAAAAGGAACGCATTGCGAGAAAAGAGCGAAAAGAAGTAAACGAATGAATGAAAGGATTTAAGGAAAGTTATCGTTTTGTGGAGCGGAAAGGCATGGACTCGAGGCCATCGCGAGCTGCTTTATAGTTTGCTCGGCCGATGCATCTGTCAAGCCGAGACTATCCACGACTCCTTGAAACCTTGAGAAATTAGGAAACGCTGTCATCCTCTCTGGAGTCCATCGGAGTTAGTATCAATTGACGCATTCAATGTTCTGCTTCAAGCTGTTTTGTCGAGTTTTTGTTCAGTAGAATCCACATGGCGGAGCAAGTTCCATGGGAGCGGGTGCCGAAGCGGACCCTTCTTCCTTGTCCGTTTAGGCAAGGATTGTCTTAGTTTGATACTCTTAGAGCTCTGAGAGGATCGATTAATTTATTCTGGGTCAGTTCCGTCCGGTCCCTGCGTCGCACATGTTAAACTAGTCAGTCGCTAGTTTTCTAAGCCGAAAGTATGTTTGGAGAGGGACGTCGAACAGGCAGACCCCAAGAATAGACAGGCGTTAACCCCATACCAGTCTAATGCACCTGGAACAAAGGTTAATCACAAGTCAAATCAACTATACGAAGGCCACGTTTCTAATCACGCACTTATAGAAAGCATCCCTCAAGAAATAAAAAGAAAGAATCATGTTCAAAGACAAAAACGGCACGGTATAGAGAACAACCTCATGCCACAACCGGCAAACGTCGCTCCCGAGGAAGCCGAGACGATGATTGGTACAGCGCCATGGACATGATATGAAATGGTCCCTGCGTTCATTATCCTGAAACACTTGCCTTGGTCTTTCCCTGCCCAAGAGACCGTTTCCTTTCGAAAAAGGAACTCAACACGACTATACAACGATTAGGGCTAGGAAAGAGATACAACCCTGAGAACTCACCTGTCTCAGAATCGTAGCCACCACCACACTTTCAACAGCCACGAAATGAAGGTAGTCCTACACGATACGCCACTGACTCAACTGAACCACACATTAGACACGGAAATGTAGAATGGTCGTTTTAGAACAAATGCTGTACCCGGGAATACCCCATTGGCAGGTCCTAAGAAGCCGAAAGACTGACCAAATCAAGAACTCACCATTAAGAGTCATGATATAGTCTATTTAGGGGTGAATATAAAATCGTACAGCGCACCTTCATTCTCAAAGCATTCTTTCAAACCAAACAAGTCCTGGAGACAGTCATTCTTTTCTACATCTATCAAGATGAAGTTCTTCATTCCCTGTATTGCCGCTATCTTTGCCACTGGAGTGCTGGCCGCTCCAACTCCCGACGCTTCTCTCGACGTTTCCCTGGACAAGAGGGCTGATCGCGGGCAATACACCGTCTCTGGTCTCGGAGCCCGCAAGAAGGCCATCATCCAAGCGGGCGGCAACTCCCTTGATCTCGCCATTGCCATGCTCGAAATGTAAGAAAACAAAATACACAATCCCGAAGTAGGCCGTTCGTTCTAACACGTAACGTACCAGTGAGGATATGAATACCGCCAACTACCCCTATGGCGACGGCAAGACCTACGACGCCGCCAACTTCGGTCTGTTTAAACAGAACTGGGGCTTGCTCCGCGAGTGCGCCCACCGCTACGGCTTCAAGGGGAAGTCGGAAGCCCAATGGAACGATGGAGCCGTCATGAAGTACGCTATTTTTCTGGAAATTTATTTCTTGACATGTTTTTCTTGGGACATTGACTGATACTTTAAAAGCTCGAACGTCTACGCCGACGTTGCGTCGCGCTGGGATTGCCAGAACTACTACGGTTACGATAAGTGGTTCGCTGGACACCGCAACGGTGCTTCTGGTCTTGCTAACCCCAACACTCCGGATATCCATAGTATGTTTTAATTATTCGATTGATATATTAATGACCCCTTGGAGCAGACGCTGATGAAATCAACTTATAGCCTACAAGTCCGCCGTCCAGTGGATCCAGCAGCAGATTGACAGCAACGAGAAGTACAAGTATGATGACACCCGCTTTTGGGTCAGCGTCGTGGCCATCTAAGTACATGTCTTGGTGAGATCTGCAGATTTCCGTGAACTGTGTTGGTTGCGATATTGACCTTGCTCTGTTGTATACTTTCTTCTCGTTGTAGCCCTTGTGCCGTTCTTTGGGGTATCATAGCATGTACTAGCTTGGGGAATTTATTCTTGATAGTCTTGTCTTTTTCCGACACTATGCCGTAGATTAATAATCGAAGTAAGAGTCTTTATAATCTATCAACTAGTAGTCCACTCCACAAGCCTAGTATCTACCGAATTAATATACGCTGCCATGGTATACGAAACAGCAAATCGGAAGTTAGGGGTTATAACAACTGCTCAGCACTAAGTCGGCACTAGCCCTAAGTCCATGCAAGTAACAAAGTGACCTTACTCACTAAGCTCCATAAACAAGATCAAGGATAACATGAGAATATATATCCTCATCAGCTCCCTGAATCCCTGCCCAATCGCAGCGTCTAGTCATGTCATAACCTGAACCCACATATGCATACTATACTAGCGACGATATAAGCATTTCGTGACCCCGCAACCATGAACGCAAGGGCTGCTATACGCTTCACCTTCACACCACTGAATGGGAGTAGGTCTGAGAGGTGCAGTGCGGGTCATATGTCGCCGGAGTTAGCCGAGTAAGGTGTGGAAGTTATTAAAGATGGAGTTACAGCCTTTTCTTGAAATATATTTGTGAGTGGATGTTGGCGAGGTCAGAGGTAGTTTTTGAGGTAGATTTGGGGCGGGTCACTATAGCTTACTCGCTGTGGAGTGTGGAATGCATATGTTGTTTATGGATTTTGTCCACAATATTTCCTTGGTAGTGATGATTGTTATAAGATAATCTGTACCAAGCACAATTGTCCTGCTAATCGTATACAGAGAGTAGAGTTTGGTATATATACATGAGTTTTATTGCCATTGATGTACATGTCTCAAGCAAATCCTGCATTTAGCGGTTTCCTATCGTTATCGTCGGAAGTTGCTAACAGCAGTATCATCCAAGTACCCTGTATAGGTTTCTGGCGTGCTGCATGGCTGTCAGAAGGCAGGGTCTCTATATAATGATATGGATTTGAACTCATTCATTGATTGAACGCCGTAGAAGGATACTTACTTCGTCTATCAGATAGTAAGTCTTTGATTCCCGTATTGCCCATACAATGAACGATATGTCGATTATCTTCTGAGCAAAGCAAAATATGTTCGCTAACAGAGGTCAGGCATGGCCATTCAATTCCTCGATATCAACACTGATGATTGATACTAAGCCAGATACGTTTCCGATGGCAATCGTGCCGTTGTAGTAGGCAGAGACCTTTGGTCGGTACTCAACTGGCAACCACAGAAACCTTTCTTGTCCGATGTATAGCCATTGGTCTCCCAATATCATATCTTTTCGTCGAGCTAGGGAGTTGGGCTCTTGAGCACCACTTGGACCAATACGCAATGTACCAAAGTCTCCTTCCAAGTAATTACCATCAGTTGCAAAGCGCAAATGACCAGTTCCGTTTCGGTAATGAGTCGAGTTACCATCAGAAGCATATACCAGTTCTCCGGTGTCTCTGTCCCATAAACGAATTGTTTGAGAAAGGGTCCCTGAAACAACAAATCTCCCGTTTGAAGAGATAGCTAGCTGATTAATTGCTCCGCAGTCCTGCAGTGTTTGAGAGAGTTTGTTCGTGGTTAAGTCCCAAATGCGGACCTTTGCGTCAATGGAGCCTGAGGCTATGAAGCTTTCATCAGGCGAAAATGCCACTGCTGTAATTTTGCTTTTGCATCCATCTAGCTCTCGCTGCAATGAGCCTGTGGTTGTATCCCACACCTGTAGCACATTACCAGAGCTCGAGGCAAGCTTTGTGCCACTTGGTGAGAATGCTATACACACCCAGTTTCCACCCCCATCTATGGAATAGAGTCGTTCTCCTGTTTTTATGTCCCATAGTGTAATTGTCCATTCTTCGTCAATTGACGCCAGCTGCTGACAATTGGGAGAAAATATGACACGATCAACCGCACTCGAATGGTCGTTCAGTGTCTGGTAAATCCCAAACGTATCCGTGCTCCATAGTTGAATAGCCGTGCTATCAGACCTCGGACGGAAAGCCACCAGGTGACTGTCTGGTGAAAAGGCGACTGTCTTTGATTTTCCTGAGTAATCATTCAGTATCTCTAGTGGCATGCCTGTTGCGAGGTTCCACAGTTGCAGTTTATAATCAGTGGAACCTGACGCTAGAAGCCTGCCATCTGGGGAGGTTATAGTCGCTGCGACTTCGTAGGAATGCTTTTGGAGAGCTTTAGGCACTGCAACCAGGTTTGTGTCCCAAACCCGTATGGTACCATCAGCAGAGCATGACACTAGCTGGTGACCATTTGGTGAGAAGGTTACCCCGAATATTTCGCGAGCATGGCCCTTGAATGTCTGAATTGGACTGTCCATGCTCTTGTCCCATAATTGGAGATTCTGTCCACCAGCAGTTGCCATCTTTCCATCGGGCGAAAATTCCAAAGACGAAATTCGGCCAGCAGTTAAAACTTTTCTCGAATTGCCTGTGGCCGCATCCCATGACCGAATTGTTCCGTCCCTAGAGCCCGAGACCACGAGCTCGTTGTTCGGTGAAAATCTCACTGCTGTGACGAAGTCGTCGTGCTCTGAGGTCCACAGCAAAGCTCCTATCTCTATATCCCAAACCCTGACCGTATAATCCCAAGAGCCAGATACTATCAGCTTGCCATTTGGTGAAATTGCCACTGCTTGAACAAAATTTTCGTGGTCCTTCAGGGTTTGTACTACTGAACAAGTAGCTAGATCCCAGATTTTGACTGTATTGTCGTTGGACCCCGACACTAGTCGCTTACCATCTGGTGAGAAAACGAGGGCTTTCACTGTAGAAGTGTGGTCTGCCATTGTCTTCTGCAGTACACCTATGGCAATATCCCACAACTGAATATCTTCGCCAGAGCTGGTTGCTACCAACTTATTATCCATTGAAAATGCGACAGTTGAGACATCATAATCGTGCTCCAAGGTGTGGAGTAAAAGCCCTGTGGTTGGATCCCAAAGTTTCACTGTGTAATCGTTAGAACCAGAGGCTATCAGTCTACCATCTGGCGAGAATGCAACCACATTCACGTCCTTGCTATGTTCCAGAGTTAGAAGTTGTGAATCCCAGTGTACTTCCACTCTAGGCAACGTAACAAAGCGCCTAGATATGTCACCATGAAAAGCGTTCCTCACAATAGACTTTTCTGGCGCAAACATCAGGGCAGCAGAGTAGAATTGAAGGGGTGCAGTGTTGGCAATCCATATATTCTTTAAAATGAAGCGATTAGCGTCGTAAAGGAACGCTGATACTATTGGACTGGAATCAGGCTTGAAGCAGGTCAGTGTAAACTCAGAAGGCGAGTCATTCCGATGGTATGAGAATGTTAAACATACCTGCACCGAGGTTTGTAATGTCCTGATAGCGCTCACAGTCTCTGAGGCCAACCCCAGGATACTCATTGCTTCCAACCAGTGGAGGAAATGCGTTTCCAGAAAGGTGTGGATATTGTCTTGATCTTTAATCCTATAGCTTCCGCACTCTAAATGATGTATCCAGTAACGACATGAGTACTGAAGTTCTGCTGAAATATGGTCCCGAATAATTTCGTCACTTATCTCATCCCGCAATGTTCCGTCATTTGGCAATTGACAAATATTCCTTGACAGCCCGCCCTTTGCTCTAGTCATCACACTAATGCATCTGAGCAATGTCTCCTTATGCGTCTGCTTCTCATCAATCCAGAACTCAGTCTTTGTACGGATTTTGGGATGAAGGAGAAAATCCCGAAATGATTGATGAAATATCTGTATAGGACTATCTTTGTCATCAGGGATACTCAAAACCGAATGTAGATAGTCCAATCTCCGATTGACATCACTGGACGAGATTTCTAGGAGGCTTGCTAGGGATGTGGGTGAAAGCGGATTAGCAAGAATGATGATTGTGCCAACAATCACTCGATATTCAGAAATCAGCTGATCTCTCTCGTCTTCATCTTCGTCTTCGTCTCCACTACGGAGAATTTGCTCAAAGACCGGAATATAAGTATGCTCAAGTTTCGATATATGACTTGTAGCTGTGCTCGACTGAGTTCCTGATCCTAGAACAAGGGCCAGGCGCTTCTCTGGGTCCCATTTCCTATCTGCGATAAAGCGACACATGGTAGCGGCTGAAATGAATAACGGACTCGCAACGTTGACCAAGTTCTGAATAGTCTGCTCTCCAGGCCATTCTTGCGGAAGCGAGTGTTTTCGCCTTATCTCTTCAAATCTATCGGATATGAAGAGCAGTATATCGTGCTTAATGGAAGACTCCACAATCTGGTGGATGCTGAAATCACGATGAGCGTCCGTTGAAACATTATCAAATCCCTGGCGGATTGGCAGCTCTGGGCGGCTGGTCAGGAAAACCCGGATCGAGACCGAGCTAGACGGTGGCACCATGGGTAAAAGGCGAAGTAGAAGCTCAATATCATTCTCGGATTGACATTCATCCAGCGCGTCAATCACTATTACCAGGACTGAAACTTGCGCTCGGTCATCTTGAATACTTGATAGCGGCTCAAGCAGCAACCTGTTGAACTGCTCTACGAGAGATTTCGTTGATATGGAAGGATCTCTCTGGATTGCCCGTCGGATGCTGGGTATGAGTCGAGGTTCATGAATAACCAATTGTCGTACTATGGTCGGAAACAGCTTTTCAGCTGTCCCACAGTCCGTCTTTCCTCTCTTAAAGAAGAAACTTGCCCCCAGAAGGCCTTCTTCCTGGAGCAGTCTGCAAACAGTACGTGAAACAGTAGATTTGCCTGTTCCTGCCATTCCATTTAACCAAAAGATACGCTCGCTCTGGGAGAGGTGTGACCATTCTGTTATATGTTTCAACAGATCTGTTCTAGTCCCTGGGAGACACTCAACCTCATGTTGATTTTTGTACGAGTCAAAAGCAGCGCCGTCAGCCATAGTTAATTGGCAGAGCTCCATCTCTCGACTGATATCTTGGATCCCACTTAGCACATTGTCAATTTGACGAAGGATATCCTCGGCCTGTTCTTGGCAGGATATTCGTTGATCAATCGAGACCCATTTCTCCAACTGCGCCTCCTCCTCGCCGATAGCGACCCTGAGTGCACTCAGTGGCTGATCAGTAAGGTCTGTCACACTAAGGACAAATTTTCTCCCAACCCCTGATTGCTGTGTTGAAATAACCTTGGCTGAATAACGTAAGATTGCAGTATATACGCGGATGATAGCACTCCGGAGCATGTCTTTCATCCTGGGGTTGCTGCTCCGGCCTGAGCACTCAATCTCTAGAAAGGCGCATCGACTCAGTACGTCGGTGAGAAACCCCGACGCTTGAAAAATTGAAGCTTGCAAATCTTGATGATTCTGGACCATCTGTTTTCCATCAGCTAATCTTGTGTAAGTATCATCATGGACCGACCTCACGTACACTTAATCCCACCGATACTAATCGCCAGACCCTGTCCGCATACCCTGTGGGGTCAAAAGCAGCGACAGCACCGATAATATCACTGAAGGATAGTGTGGCACTGACTATTTTGAGAGCAGAATCTCGGATGTTGATGTCCTCTCCACTTGACCTTTTGATCTTCAATCCCCTTCTTTGATGCTCATCGTACTGCTTCTTTGTTGTCTCGATAACCGAGTTTACTATTTCCACCATCTGAGACGCGCGGTTTGCATGATTACCCCCGTTTGACTCATGTAGCAGCTTCAGCCTTCGTTGGTCCTCAGGATCCAGATTGGCATAGGCGGCCTTCCATAGATACTGTCGGTCTGACTGGGCCGAATCTGAACTTTCTGTTGTATCGTTTCCCCGTTGATCCTGGGAACTGTTCTCCGGTTCTTCAATTGTTGGATAGGCGCCTGCGCCCGACGCATCAGTATTAGGTGATACGCCATTCCTATTTACTCGGTCTTGGCCTGGACCTTCAGTTTTCTTCTCTGACTTCTTGTGGCGGTCCCTCCTGAAGAGCTGTTTAATATGGAATCCCATTGTGTCTGGAATTCCTGGTGAGCCATCGGTATAGGGAGGAGGGCATGAGATCGGGGGGTGAGATAGGCGCCAGCTCATCGGCCATTAAGTATCGGTCCATCGTCCAACCAGAACACATCATAAGCGCCAGACAATTAATTGTGGGTGTACGCTGATAGGCTTAACCCAAAGTAGGAGCTCAGGATGCAGTGCGATGATTAGTGCGCAGCCTAGTCTCATGGTGCTTGCTTTTTCTTTCTTGGCATCTGGAGATTTTGGCGTTGGGATGCTTTCGTCTGGTATCGATCTTCGATTGAGAGCATGGCTTGCAAAGAGAGGCTGGACTAAAGGTATCTGTGCGAAGTTGTACCTGTGCAGTTAGCATAAGCATTGAATATATTCTGTATGTTGTATTCGGGGTTTCCTAGCTTTCTGACAGCTCTTGCATTAAATGACCGGGGAAGAGGATTCCGGGATGGATACCTTCTCTACTACCGAGCCTGATAGCATCTGCCGCCATTCGCATTCTTTATTTCATTTCTTTCTCTTGTTAGATTTATTTTTTGGTTTCTTTTATGCATAATCAAGTAAATAAAATATGGCCTTATACATACCTTTCCAGACGATACCAAGATGGTCGAGAGGTTTATCTCTCGAGTATGCTCTGTAGTACGTTAAATTAACACGCGAGTTCCAACTATGGGATAAAGGCAATCTATTATATCTATTATCAGATCATCAGCATATTATACAAACTCTAGGATGGACCATAAAATTGCCAAGGACTTTGAATAGAGTTATTGTTCGAGCGGTAACTCTATGTACGTTTGTCTCAGAGAACCGTGGAATCCCGACAATAGGAACCGTGGCGTGGTGTCCAACCATAATCTAAAACATTTATTATCAACGATGGGTTTCGGTTTATGGAGCATTGCCAACGTCCCAAAAGACTACGCCACTCGCAATAGGATGGAATGAACTCTACTAACCTTATGATATGACATATAACACTTTCAGGTCGAGAGCCATTATGGTATTGATTATTGATTCCAGTGGTTGACTCTAAAGATGTAGCCGTGTGAATTACTCGATTGTGGGTTTGCTATTCGCTCTATAGCGCTGTATTTACAGGAGAAATAGGAAGTGCGTATGTACATATAAATACACCTTCAACTTGAAGGCGAGGTTATCTTAACGGAAAAAGAATGCTGTACACGACGGCATGCACTAGACATGCAATTAATGCACTGAGAAATAAGTAAAAATGATAAAAGAAAAGAAAAGAGAGAGGCTCTATCTAGTGTTTTCAGTACAATATATGAACTTATAGATGTATAAGAATGAAAGACAAGAAGAGAAATGGTAGAACCGACTTTCGGTTCAAAGTAGAAAGAATGAATACAAAATCAATTAAAAGGAGACGATAGTAGAAGGTAGGGAAAACAAGATACAAACTGAATATTTGTCTTTGAGGGCAGTAACAAGGTATCTCACAAGAAATATCTCACCGATATTCGTGATAGTTTATACCGGTCTCGAATAAAGACTCAAAGCGAGAGGTGTATGTATACCTACCCGGATGCTCTCTTTCCCTTCGGGACTCGGGCCAGCCAGTAAATGAAAACTGCCGCGCCAACATTAAACACGATGTACACCCACATCAGACCGAAATTCCGCCAGGCTTCGTCATACTTGCTCACTATCGAAGCAAGGAACGTATCAGTTTTGCTGATCGTACAGAAGGCACAGTCAGCTGTGGCTTCCGGGTCCTGCAGATATCCCTGGGCCTCCTGGATATATGCTGCCATATATTGCTGGCAGGTTTGATTTGCTGGGGGGTCAAAGTGGAGAAGCTCAACAGCCTCGCACTGAACATCGGTTCCAGACAGACCAGTAGACAACATCGCAGAGACCAAATAGGTGAATGGTGATACACGATACATGAAGATCCAGAATCCAGGCATATTGTCTGGGGTTGCTAGGACACCACAGAAAATAAGGCAGAGGGAGAAGAGCAAAGTAGCAATATTACCACCCGTCTCAGCCAGCTCTATACCTGCGATAACCATATGGGCAAAGGTAGAAGTGAAGAGTAGGAATACCCAGATAAGTAGAAACATAAGACCTCCACGTTCAGTCACTGCGTCGGTAGGCTTCGCGTTATTATATAGCCCGATCGGGTAGTACCAGCAGAAGAACATCAGCGCTGCCATTAGAGTATTCCAAGGCAATTCAACAAGGATATTAGCTGTCATAAAGGCTTGCCAGGAATATGTTTTCGATGGACGTTCACGAACTTCATACAGCGACCGTTGTGTGACGAAATGAGGCATAATCTGTTGCACTAAATTTCCGAAGATTGTCATCAACATAAATACGCTGAACATCTGATTCTGCATCCCTTGAATTGAATTCTTGGCATGGAAAAATGAGAATCCGATATAAATGGACGTCAGGACAGAAAGGGCAGTTTTAGACCAGATATAGCTTGGTGTGCGGTAATATTGGGCAAAGACACGGATCAGACATTCCCATAACTGAATATAGAATGGTGCCGCATATTCCCTAAAGGCCTCTGGGTCGGAGTTATCCTCTGGCTTCACAGATAGGGTTGACTTCAACTCGGCAAGATGTTCCTTAACCTTCGCATGCTCGGGGCTTTCGCGCCACACCTTCGGCCAGTCTATATCACTATGAGATCCTGGAGCTGCTCCAATCACATCCAGCATCCACTCGGCTGGGTTCTCTCCAGGAGATAAGCGCTGTGCACCATTGCGTTCAAAGTAGTTTGAAAGGGTAGTAGAGTTTTCGCCAATCTCACCAAAGTAGATTGTCTTTCCACCTTTCGCCAAGAAAAGAAGGCGATCAAAACGCTGAAACAACATGGCAGATGGCTGATGAATAGTACAAAGGATTGCCTGGCCGTGTTGGGTCAAAGTATCGATCAAATCCAGGATTGACCAGGAGGTTTGACTGTCAAGACCTGAAGTAGGTTCATCCAAAAACAACAAAAGCTGGGGTTTTGCAGCAAGTTCAACTCCAATGGTCAAACGCTTACGCTGTTCGACATTCAAACCTTCTCCAGGCACTCCAACAACTGCATCAGCATAAGCCTCCATACCAAGAAGTCTGATAACTTCCTCAACGTAGTCAAGTTTCTCCTGGTGGCTGACGTGCGCTGGCTGACGCAATATTGCGCTAAATCTGAGGGCTTCACGAACAGTAGATGTAGACAAGTGAAGATCCTGCTGCTGCACGTATCCTGTTTTGCGCTGGAAGGATTGGTCGCGAGGGCGTCCATCCACAAGCATCTCGCCAGTAATAACTCCCATGGTAACGCGTGTAGCGAGCACATCCAATAACGTTGTTTTACCTGCTCCAGAGACTCCCATCAAGGCGGTACAGGTACCAGGCTTAACCCAACCGTCAACGTGGTCCAGAATTCTCCTGGGTTGCCCCTTAATCTTAATATCGTAACAGACATCCTTCCATTGGAAGATTGCGGTTTGTCTTTGGATTCCCGCTGAAGCTTGAGGAGCAGATTCGTCGGTTTTCGGTGCACCACCCGCCTCGGGCGACTCTAGATCGGTCTTATCCAGGGGTGTTTTCGGTCCATGCCCACGTCGAAATAAGAGCACTTCACCTTTTGATTTCTGCTCTGAGATATATTCCGTGGACGCAAGATACGTGAAAGCAAAGAACACTAGGAAGCCGATCATAATACCCAAGTTTCTCCACAAATGCCCTTTGACATACCGAAAGCTCTGTTCAAGGTAGACTGTCCCTTGCACTATAGTAGAGCCAGTCTCTGCTCCAACTGTAGAGCAAATACGATTCTCCATCGGCATACTGTCGTACACTCCTTTAGATGGGATAATTTGAGAGCATTCGAAGTGACGGCCGTGGAACTCATTTACCATGAAGCTTTCAAAGGCGTAGGATATGGGATTAATGTAGTTCATCCAACGGGACCAGCCGAGCATATTTCTGGTAGGAATAACAAAACCTGTATAGATCACCATACCCAGGATCAAGATTGCCGCAGGGACAAGTGCTTGGGACAGAGAGCGAGACGTCGCTGCAATCGTTCGGAAGATCATTGACATGGTGTAGGTGGTGACCACGGAAAAGAGCCAGAATGTCCACCAAGCTCCTGCATCGCGCCGTAGGTTGGTCATAAAGTACAACGGAAGATTGAAAGTGATTGAGTTAATAATTTTGTAAGGTGTGTCGCACAGCATAGACGCAACAGCCTCTGCAAACGGATGGTAGAAGGCATAGCGAGCTTGCTTTTCCACAATCGGCCTTTGGGCGTACAGAGTCAGAATTTCCAAGGCACTGGAGAACGCATTTAGAAGCACTGCGTAGAACAGTAAAGCTCCTCGAGAGTAAAAGCTGGCGGAATTATCCTGGAGATTGAAGAAAACTGAAGCAACAATTAAGGCTATAATGAAGTTGCCAATTAAAGCGGTTACCGTTAAACTGGAATCACCTCGGAGGCGCTGGAAACCACGGACGACACAAAGAGAGATCTGCTGCCATACCGAGATCGTGTAAGGGGATTTGACGCGTTGATGCTTTGCCTGCATAGCTTTGCGAGCATCAATAAATGATTGATAGGAGGCGCCACCAATTGGGTACTGTTTCTCGAACTCATCGATTTCCAGAATCAGTTTTGCCCGAGCATCGCTTTGTTTCCATGCAGCGGCAAACTCATCTGGAGTGCGAGGCACGCGGTTTTCAAACCCGGGGCGGACCTTTCTTTCCGAAGGGCTGGTAAGAGATGTTAAGAAATCAGCTGTTGTCTGCCGATCGGGGCACTCAAATCCCATATCCACAAAAAACTGCTTAGCCTCCGTCGTTCGGCCAAAATAGATTTGCCTTCCCTCATAGAGCACCGTCACCTTATCAAAGACGTCATATGCGCTTTGCGATGCCTGATAAATAGCCACGCAGGCAGCAGTGCCAGCGTATTTGCTCATCAAGGCTAGATTCTTACAGAATTCCAAAGCATTGGCACT